AAACAATTTTATATACCCTTTCTCTCTATATATACCTCTACATATCTATTCTACCTTGGTTCATGTTTGCAGTACATAATACTCCTTTTTGGAGTAGGTGCAGGAACATAATATATCTCAATTCCTTCTCATTCCCTTTCTCTCCCTTTTCTTCCTTCCCCTTTATCTCTTGATTCTCTTCCTATCTGAGAAAGACTGATCTCTCTACTTCCGACTATCTTTTATTTTGCTCTTTATTTATATTTTGTGTTTCTCATGTAAGAGAAATCATGTGTATTTAATCTTGTGTCTGATTTATTTCACTTATTTTTGTGGTCTTAAGGTGCATCCATGTTCTTACAAATGACCCAAGCTAACCCTTCTTTACAGCACAGTACTACTCTACTGTGTGTAAACACCACATTTTCCTTACCCAGTCATCTGTGGGTAGACATATAGGCCACTTCCAAGATTTGGCTATTATGAATTGTGCTGCTATAAACATGGGTATTTATGTATCATTGTGATACAATACCTAAAGGGGGACTGGTGTACAACCATGAGTGGAACCGCTGGATGGCATTGTAGCTCTAGTTTCAATTGTCTGAATGGCTGTAGTAGTTACAGTTATAACTTACATTCCCACAATCACAGTTGTGATTTCACAGTTGCAGTTGTAACTTACATTCCCAAATGGAATTTTTAGTTTTATTTTTTGAGGAATGTTCATACTGATTTTCATAGTGGTTATACCTGTTTGCATTTGTGCCAACAGAGTAAAAGGTTTCCTTTTTTTCCATAGCCTGGCCGGCATTTGTTATTTGACTTTTTAATATTTTAAATGGGCACATTGCCAGGTAGGGTGGTGCATGCCCATCATCCTAGCATTTGGGAGACTGAGACAGGAGAATTGCTGTAAATTTGAGATCAGCCTGAGTTACATAATGAGTTCAAGGCCAGTTTGAACTACACAGCGAGATCCTGATTCAAAACGAGCAAAGAAACAAACAACAGAAAAACTGGTACATTGAAATCTACTTTTTGTGATATACAATTCTACGAGTTTCTACAAACACATAGGCTCGTGTATCCACCATCACAAATCATGCTACAGAACAGTTACAACACCTTTCAGTTTTTTTTTCTTTTCTTTCTTAATCAGTCTCTCACTGTAACCTTGACAATCACTGTACTTTATTCCTCCAATTCTACCTTTTCCTGAACATCCAACAAATGGAATGGAGCTTAGGTAACCTTTTGAGGTTGGCTGCCTTTCTTACAGCAATTTGCCTTTGGGATCCATTCTGGTAGTTGCACCTTATTGGTTTTCCTTTTCTGACTGGATAACACTCCTTTATGTAGGTGTGCTATAGTTAGAGAACACTTGAGTCATTTCTAGCTCGTGATAACCTAATAAAACTTCTATAAAATTTGTGTGCCAATATTTATGTCTGGGTAAATATCTAGGAGTGGTATTTTTGGGGCGATGTGGTAAATATGGTTATGTGTGTGTTTAACTTTATAAGACTTGTTTCTTCCTTCCTTCCTTCCTTCCTTCCTTCCTTCCTTCCTTCCTTCCTTTCTCTTCCCTTCCTCCTTCTTCTTTTTTTTTTTTTTTGGTATTGGGGATTGAACTCATGATCTCACACTCATGAAGCAGGCACTTATACCACTGAACTAAACCCTTGGCCCATAACATTTGTTTCCTAAAGTACTTTGTCCTTTGTGTTCCACCAGGCAATGGTAGAAGGATGTGGAACACCTAGAACCATATGAGAGTTCTAGTGGCTCCATGCCCTTTGCAGCCTTTGGCATTGTCAGTTTTACTAAGCTTTAATCATTTTAGTGCTATCCAGTGGGATTTTACTGCGCTTTTGTTAAGGTTCCCATCTCTGCTGAGGAAGGATCCTTATCTTCCTTTAGGTATACATTCGGTTTCTTTCTTGTGGTTGAATTTTGAGAGTTCTTTGTTATTCTGGATACAAGCCTTGTTCCTTACATGATTTGCAAAGGATTGTCACAGTCTGCAGGGCTGGCCATTTCTTGTACAAATGGCAGTCATCCCGCCTTCCACAGGGAGAAAACCATGTACTTACAGTTTTGGTTGGTTCTGCTATAAACTGATGTGACATTGCAGTCACTTAGTTTACCCTGGCCTTGTATTTCCTACTCTATGGAACAAGGTTGTGGGATTGAGAGGATTTCTGGGGCCCTCTGTAACCAGAATAGGCCATGATGCTAAACCACTCACCAAAATTCACCTAGTTAATTAGCAGCAGAGCCAGGCTAGTGCTTGAGTTGCTTCTGAGTCATCTTTGTTTGAAGCAGAATTCTTCTTTGTAAAATTGAAGTTTTTATCAAGTCCATTTACATGGTTCAAGCTTTGAAAGTATAAAATATTCTTCTATGAAGGAAGACCTCCTGTGTCTCTGTTATCTTTATTTCTTGTGCTCCTTTCTGGAGCCTTTACAAAGAACACATTTATATGTGTCGCTGCTGCTGTGTGTTTTTTCTCCCTCTGCTTTCTAAGTTAATTATACACCACACCTTTCTTCTTCTGCTTCTGATAGAAATGCAAATTAAAACCACACAGGGCTACATTCTTTTGAGGTTGAGGGTATGTTCTCTGGGCTGAAAACCATCTGGGTTTCCTTTCCTAAGAGTTCTCTGTTCACGTTATTTTCTGTCTTTCTTCCTGTGGAATTGCTGGCATTATCATGATGAGCTTATTTATTAGAGAAATTAACTTTGTGAGATGATATTGTTGTCTTGTAGTTTGCCATCTGATTTTGAGTTTGCTTATTATAATTTTACTTGCAGAGTTCTGACACCTGTGGGGGTAGAATTCATCAGAATTATCTTTTCTGGCTTTGGAGTCCTAATTGAAAATGCCTTTCCCCTTTACTGTTAAATAAAGACTCCTTTTATGGTTTCTTTAGTTTATTGATTCATTCTATACTTATACATAGTTAATGAAAGGGTTTTGGCCCAGACAGGACACTGTAGCTGGTAAAGCCTTAAAGGTGGAACCAAGGAGCTCCTATCTCTCCCACCCCTAGAAATTTACCTGTGACTCCATCTTCCCCACCCCTGGGAATTTACCTATGGCACCAAACCTAGGACCAATGGGCTACCCGTGCATCTCTGATGCCCCCTTAGGTTCCACCCCAAACTGAGGCTACTTACATACCCCCGACGCCACATGTCCACCAGAGAGAAAGCTGGACTCCAGCAGTTGGGGTTTTGGTTTTCTCTCTCCGTGTTCTCAGAATAAAGGCCTCTTTTGTTTTATACTTCTCATCTTTTGGATATAATCTTATCAGTTAAAATATTTGCTCTTTTTGGAACTTATCCTGGCAGAAAGAATAACCCAAAAGCATGATTCCAGAAGCCAGGCCATTTGTCTCTACACTATTACACTTCCTACCTTTTCTGATTTGAGCAGCCAGTGTGACATACACTAAATTTCCATATCTGGAGTGTTTTAATTCTACATTTTCTATTCTGTTCTGTTGGTCAACCTTTCTTTCTGCCTTTGCTCCATATTAAGGTTTTATTTATGTTTTAGCATGCTATGTACAGGGTTTCTCTTCTTTATTACAATTGTATTTCTTTAAAGTTTTTTTGCAAAATATTATAACAAAATATTGAAGCATATGGAAATACTGAAAGAATCTTACAGTAAATAGCCATTTACAGGCCACCTAGATTCTACCATTAATATTTTACTTACCTTTCTTTAAAACATTGCTATACATTTTTTAATCCTCTATTAATCTACTTTAGTTTTTAAATTTTAGTTTATGAGTGCATGTGTTGGTATACAATGCTTACTTGTGCATAGCACATCTTAGTTTGTTGAGGAAACTTTCCCAAGCCAAGCCAAACAAAACCAAAAGAAGACTTTTTGCATTCAGGATATAAGAAGGCAGCATTTAATCTTTACACTAGTGGACTGGTGGATTTTCACACCAGTGGACAGTTGCAGGGATAATTCCTCCAAAGCAACTGTCCTGCATCAGGAAGAAGTTTAGTCTATATAGAACTAGAAGTGGGAGGTACAAAGAAAGTAGCAAAACATTACATGATTGGTTACATATGTTGAATCATATATTGACAGGCTAGTCTTGAACCAATAAAAACGCTCCAGGAACTAGGGGAGGGGGTCTTACAGCATGAGCACAAGTAAGGCCATTACCATAATATAGAAGTGTTTACTGAACGAGCAAGAATCAGCCCAGGGTGCCTTCAGGTATAGACAATTACTCTGACTTAGTGCTCACCTGCAGCTGGGCTGTGGATACTGTCAGGGTCAAATGAATTTAGCAGAAACAGCAGAACAGCAACTTGGTCAGAGGCCTCTAACTGATCATGAAATATCTATAAGATTACCATCGCATGAATGTATTTCTGCGTTATAGCTGTGCCCCAACAAGCTCCTTTTTCTTCCCCTTTCTCTCCCTTCCCTGTCACTTGATCCCTCCTCCTTTTTTGTATATGTTTTCAGAACACCTCAATTTTTGATGCATTTCAAAATAAATTAGAGGTATCACTACATTTCTTCCTATGTACTTAAGCTCACCTGCTATTAAATACCGCTTGTTATTTGTTTACAGGGGTTTTCATTTTGAGCTAGGATTTACACAGCACAAATGCACAGCCCTGAAGAGCACACTCACCACGTTTGGACAAGGGCAAGCGCTTGTGGAGTTGCAAGTCCTTGTCAAAATAAGGGCATTGCTATCGTTTCCTCATTGCTGTGCTAGGTGGGGTCTTCTGATGTTACCTTTTAACTGGTCTACATGTAAGAAAGCTATTGATTGCTGTCGTTTACGGTGCCTTTGGGAATGTCTAAGTGGGAAAGCGACGTGACCTCATTCTTAGGTACCTAGTGTTGTCTTTTGACTCAAGTTTTTTTGCATACGTTCATTTAGCTTTTGCTCCTCAGCCAATGCAGTGGGCTGAGGTTTAAAACGTTGCAGCTAATAACTGCAGTTTCTCTTTTCCCCGCTGCTGGAGACACAGCACAGTGCTTGCAGATGAAACCTGTTCTCGAGGGTCGCGGATAAATTCCACTGCGCTGTTTCTCTGAACACAGGACCCCAAAAGCTCCTGCTGCCAGAGGGCACCTGGCAACCCCCGATCTGAATGGGCCCTTGACCTCTGAGAAGTGAGTTCTGCCCGCCCTACAGGGCTTTCCCTACAGTTTTGTTTTAAAATTTTTTTTTGTTTACTTCTTTACTTTTTTGTCTGTTTTCTCCTCACTAAATCTTTATCAGTTTCCAGCACTACTGGCTCTTCTTTTGACCCTCTGAGGCTTAGGGTTCTTTCTAATTTCCTTCCTGCTCGTTTTTTTTTTTTTTTTAAATTTTATAAAAAATAAATCTGTGTAAAGAAAACAATAGAAATGCCAGATTTACATTTCATGTGGAAACTTGAGGCCTACTCTGAATTATTGGAGGGTCAGGAAGTGATTATCACCACTCGGGAACCAAGTTTTTGTCTGATTGTGGTTTTCACTGACTTATTGATTTTTACATTTTAATTTTTGTTAGTGCATAATGATTACAGCCATCATGGGGAACTAGTGCATGTATGTAATACATGTAGCTCTTTTTATGTCCTTATCTCTCCCCTTCCTCCCCCTCTATTGCCAAAGGTTATCCGTAATTTTTAATCCATCCTTTTTCTTTTTTTAAATAGTTATACATTTCCTACTACATTCAGCATATTTAGGCTGAGTAGTGAAATGGGCTTCAGGGTTAGTCTTAATGTCTTAAAAATTATAGAGTAGAATGTTTGAATGACCTTATCAGTTATCATGTCAATACTTAATAATCCTTTTTCTGTCTTTCTTTCTTTCTTTTTTTTTGAGACAGAGTCTCACTCTGCAGTTCAGGCTGGACTTGAACTTACTTTGTACCCCAGACTGGCTCAGGATTGGCAGTGATCCTCCTGCCCAGGCCTCCCACATGCTGGGAGTACAGGAGCATGCCACCATACCTGGCTGCATTCTTAAGTGTTATGGTATTCTCATTGCCTGCCCATTTAACTTTCAATTCTTGAGTAAACCTTTGCTTTGTGTTTTGCTGAAGTAAATACTAGATCGATAATGCATTCTCTCTTCTATCTGCAATCAGATGGAGCCTTATTACTGTGGCGTTTTGGTAAGCTGATTGCTTTAGGGAAAATGCAGCCAATTTCAAAAGCTGATGGGGAAAGAAGCATTCATTAAAGTCCAAGGTAAGTATGTGAAGCTCATTACTTGTTACTTACTTTTGATAGTCCAGCTGTTGCTGGTGGTATTCAGGGTCACGCTATAAATCACAGCAGTGCAGTTAGAATTGTACTGAAGCTGAAGTCAGGGCTAGTCTGTAAGAAGTTCGTTGTTCCAGATTCATGACTCCGTGAGTGGAGAGGTTTAGCTACTCATCGATCAGGAAACATTCAGTGTAGCATGCTTCTTCAATATCTGGTTAGCCTCCTAGAGACAAGCTAGGCAAGATTCACAGCCCTTCATTTCTCTCTGTGCAGGTGGCATAGCACTTGGGTGAAAACAGATTTCACTTTTAACTGATGTCTGAAGATCACATTTGGAAGTAACTTCATGGAAGCGTGATTGGACATGTAAGGAGGGGCAGCTTCTGTCTTTATCCTATGATAAGTAAGATCTAAGGTACACGTTGCCTGGAATATCTGAAGATTGTCGCCAGAGAAGGTTTTTCCACCTCTACTGCACAGATCCCTGATGCATACCTACTGTCTTCAGCTTTTAAAAGATTGTACATTCAAGAGGCTCTAGTTAAAATGCAAACATGTTGTAAGTGGGTAACCTTGTAAGCTTGCTTCAGTCGGTGCACCCAGTGGGTATGAGTAGGACCTCTTTTTTGTACAATGAGATTGGAGAACAAGGACAGAGGGAAATAGGCAATAACTCCGAGAGGCAAGCAGGGGCAAACAGTAAAGGGATACAAAGGCTGGTTATAATCATAACTGGAGCATAAGACCTAGGATTTTTTTCTCAACTTCTGAAGTCCTTTCCGTCCTCCATGCCTCACTCTAAAAATTCCTGAACTTATGATTCTGTCTTCTCTCATTGGGTGAGTGACTGTACAATTCTTTAAATTTTTTTTTATTTTTTACAATTTTATTTAAAGGAGAAAAAAAAGTATAAGGGTACAGGCAATACAGAATTTCAAAAAAAAACCAGTAGGAAATCACTAGTTAATAGATTACATATTGTCATCTTAGAAATAGTTGTTCAAGTGACAGGATTAAAGCATACAAAGTGGACATTCAAACAATGAGACTGCAAACAGTTGTGTTCAATGATCCAACCAAAAACATTAATATGGTGAGCTATTTAACACCCCTAAACACACTTGCTGTTGTATCCTTTAGAGTGCTTTTTCCCCTCTTCTTTTTACAACAATATTTACACATTTTGGATTTTATTACTCCATAGTTCTTATTACTTTTTTTGGAAGAGAATAAAGTCAAATATGGAAAACAAAGCTGTTAGTCAAAACCAAGGATAGACATAGCACATGATGTAAAAGCAGAGTACAAGGTTATCGACAATGGTTACCATAATGCCTCTTGCTTCCTTAAAAAGAATTGTCTATCTCATTAGGTATTATAAAGTTGAACAAAACAGTAGAGAACAAGACCAATAAAACCTAAACCTTGTAAACACTACAGGACTTCCAAAGAGGATAATAGTCAAACCAGAATGGGCAGCATAGTGGAATCTTATTGCCTTCAAAGTAATTGCCCATACCTTCAAAATTGATACTATCATACAGAACAGAACAGAACAGAACAGAACAGAACAGAACAGAACAGAGTCTAATCAGTCAAAACAAGATAGTGGGAGTATTACAGGACTTCAAATCAAGTTAATAGGAAATCAAAAAAGTTACTATAATATATCCTGCTAATTTTTTTATTTTTCCCCTTAATTAATAAAATCATAAAAAATAACTAAATAATTTTTTAATGAATAAGGGAGAGATTGAGATAAAAGAGGAAATAACAACATAACAATACAGGTCAAAGCATGACAGTTTCAGCAACCTAGTGCTTCACCACCAAATAACGTGACTTAATAGTAGTTACCGTAGTGTCTTTTTCCTTGAAATATTTGAGTATACCTTCATATACTATAGTATCAAACATATCAAGGCAGTGTGAAAACATTAAACAGGATGAAAGTAATACAGGGTATTTAGAGCCAGTTAACGGAAAATGAACAATGGTTTCTATATTATCTCTTTGCCAATAAAAATTTTTGTTTATACAATCACATAATAAAATGCAGTAAGGTATAACATGATAAAACCAATGGAGACACAAGAACAACAGTTTGATGGGACTTCAAAACAAGATGATATTAAATCAGCACTAGCTATTATGATCTCTTGTTTTCTTCAAAATAGCTGTTCATATCATCACAGACAATAATATCAAACATCCCAGAATAAAATCATTCCAATTAATGAGTGAAAACTTTATAAGGCTTCAAAGCCACATAATTGGGAATCATGATTACCACAAACTTTTATATATTTGAATCATTTCTTACAATAGGGAAACTTTGGCATGCATACGTGTGAGTTTGATTTATTTCACTTATGAGTATGGTCTCAAGCTGCGTCCATTTATTTATAAATATCTCAATGTGATCATTCTTTATAGCTGAGGAGTACTCCATTGTATAAAAATACCACAAACTTTTTTATCCATTCCTCAGTTGATGGGCATTAAGATTGTTTCCTACATCTGGCTATTACAAATTGTGCTGCTATAAACATGGATGCATATATATCACTGTGGTATGATGCTTTCAGTTCTTCTGGGAATGTGCCTAGAAGTGGAATAGCTGGAACAAATGGGACTTCCAATCCAAGCTTTTTGAGAAATCTCCATACTGATCTCCACAAAGGTTTTACCAGTCTACACTCTCACCAACAGTGCAGGAGAGTTCCTTTTTCCCCACAGCCTCTCCACAGCATTTGTTGTTGATGGTTTTCTTGATCCTGGCCATTTTTTCAGGAGTGAGATGAAATCTCAGTGTGGTTTTAATTTGCATTTCTCTAATGACAAATGATGATGAACATTTTTTCATGTATTTATTTGCCATTTGTATTTCTTCATCTGAGAAGTGCATATTCATCTCAGATGCCCATTTTTGGATTGGATCTTTGAATTTTGAGGGTCTGATTTTTTAAATTCTTTATATGTTTTAGAGAGAAGTCCTTTGTCTGAAGGGCAGTTCACTAAGATCTTTTCCCAGTTTGTGGGTTTTCTTTTCACTATGCTGGAGATTTCTTTTGACATGCAGAAACTTTTTAATAAGAAGTGATCCCAGTTATTCATTCCGGGAAGTATTTCCCGTGCGGTTTGAGTCCTGTTCATGAATTCTCTACCTACCCCTATGTCTTCAAGGTTTTTACCCAATTTGTCTTCTAATAGATTTAGTGTTTCTGTTTTAATATTCAGATTTTTGATCCATTTAGATTTTAATTTAGTACATGGTGATAGGCATGGGTCTAATTTTAGTTTTCAGCATATGGAGAGCCAGTTTTTCCAACACTGTCGTTCTTCCAGTGAACCTGCTTGGCTCCTTTATCAAAGATAAGGTGGTTGAGTGTGTTTGTAGTTGTGGTTGTATCTTGTAATCTATTTCATTGATCTCCGGCTCTGTTTTGATTCCAGTACCATGTTGATTTTACTACAACAGTTGCTTTTTAGTGTAACTTCAAGTCAGGGATTGTGATGCCTCTTGCCTTGTCTTTGTTGGTTAGAACTGTCTTTGCTATTCTAGATCTCTTCTCTCTCCAGATGAATTTTAGAAGTGATTTCTCCAGATCTATGAGGTATGTTAATGGGTGGTATTTTTATTGGGATTGCATTGAATCTGTATAAGTTTTGGGAGAATGGCCTTTTTCACAATATTTATTCTTCCTGTCCGTGAGCAAGGGATGGTTTTCCATTTTCTGAGATCATCTTCAATTTGTTTTTTCAGAGTATTATAATTTTCCCGGTATAGGTCTCTCCCTTCTTTCATGAGAGTAATTCCTAAATATTTCAATTTTTTGGTTGCTAGTGTGAAGGGTATGGCTTCTCTTATTTCTCTTTCCGTGATTTTGTTGTTAGTGTATAGGAATGCTATTGATTTCTGAGTATTGATTTTGTACTGAATTTATTTATTATATCTAGCAGTCTTTCAATGGGGTTTAGGGGTCTTCTATGTAGAGTATCGTGTCATCTGCAAACAATGATAATTTAACTTCTTCTTTTCCTGTGTTTACCCCCTTTATTTCTCTCTCTTGTCTAATTGCTCTGGCTAGTATTTCCAGGACTATATTAAATAGGAGTGGTGATAAAGGACATTCTTGTCTTGTGCCTGATTTTAAAGTAAAGGCCTTCAATTTTTGGCCATTTAGTATGATACTGGCTGTTGGTTTGTTGTAGATGGCCTTTATTATATTGAGGTAAAGACCATCTATTCCAATTTTCTGTAAAGTTTTTATCATGAATGAATGTTGGGCCTTATCAAAAGCTTTTTCTTCATCTATAGAAATGATCATGTGATTCTTACTTTTGGCTTTATTGATATGGTGGATTAGATTTATTGATTTACGTATGTTGAATCATCCCTGTATGCTTGGGATGGTGCCTGTACAATTTTGAAGATACAAGTGTTGTGCTTAGGATGAAGCCAAGACTAAGAGACAGAGCCTTGAAGGTCTTTGGTCCAGCTTCAACATGCAGTGCCCAGGCAACTTGATCTCTGTGTAGCAGGCAGACCATGTACCTCCTGAGCTGGCTCATGGATTGTTACAAATGCCCTGCCAAATGAGAAGTAAAATGGTGGCCCTGTTCGTCTCGCTGTCCCTGAGTTTTATTCTCAGAGCCTCATTCTGGCTTCATAACCAGCGATCTACCATCTGAAAGGCAATGTCCTCTTAGGCTCATTGCTCTGTCTCTGCCAGGATTCGATCGCTGGTACTCAAGTTCCAGTGGAAGTGGTCTGTTTTCTCTGATCTTGATGTCCATGCTCGCCTTGTCTTCTAGGGATTCTGTGTCACCCTCGAGGTCCATCATCACACACTGGGGCTGATTATGGGCTTTGTGGTCTTTCCTTCTCTTTCTAATCTGCTTCTGGTGCACATCTAAATTGTTTCTCTCCTTTACACCCCTGTCTCCCCATTCCATCCATGGCTTCCTATGTCCTATCGGACAAAGTTCAGTGTCTTCAGTATGGTTGTTAAGGTTCATCATGAAGAAGTCCGTCTTAGTGCTACATTTTTCTCAACATGGATGTGAATCCCGAGGAGTCAGCGCTTGCGATGGGCTAAGCTGCAAACTGCGTAGCTATCACAGCTCTGGGCACATGTGGGAAGCCACCTATGAATGGCGCCCATTTCCTGCTTCCGGGTTCTTCCTGGCCTGAACAAGCCCGCCAAATTGTCAGGTCTGCCCAGTTACCCGTGACGCTAGCCTATCAGCTTGTTAGGCGCGCTTCTCTGTGATTGGATACTGCTTCCCCTTATAAGAGGTTGTTCCTGCCCCCAACGGCGGAAGAGGAATCAACACCGAGGGTGGCGGACCTTGTCAGGTCCGGTTCGCTGTACGTAATAAAGTTTGAGAGCTGATCCTGCTCGAGTTTGGTCTCCTGTCTCCCGCGGCTCCGGTCATATGGTGGCCCCCATACGGGGAATAAAAGACTCAGCGACGTGCCTCTTCGGCCGGGAGGTGCGATTGCTGTCGCCTGCGGTACGACGGAGGACCTGGCCCAATAACAACGGAAGGCCGCGAGCGCCTCTTCTCTTCACCCTGATCAGCTACGTGAGATACAGCGGTTCCCGGGACAGGTGAGTACTGGGTCACCTGGGTTGGGTGGATGCACCTAACAGATTTTGAGCGCCACACGAGTGGACGCTGGGTTTTTTTTTTCTTTTCTTTTCCCTTTGCATCTGTTTTGCTTTCGCTTCGCTAATACAGCCCGACAGGCTTTTGATAGAGCTCGATTGGAATGCTCAGAGGAGCCCGGAGCCACTGCCGATTGTGGGTCTCCGGAGGACCCTCAGGGCTCTAATTCTGATTCGGATTTGGAAGGCTCAGAAGAGGAGGTCGTCTTTGCTAAGCATGACCCTCCTACACCGTTAAAAGAGGAACTTAGGGCTCGGGAAGATAAAAAGGGGAACCAAACACCACCCTGCCCGAGCTACTCCGCCTTACGGGAAGACCTTAAGCCCTTCCGCCCTTTGGCAAGTTCGCGACCCACGATCACCCCCTTCAGGGCGCCAGGCCCCACTAAGCCCTTCCGCCCTTTGGCAAGTTCGCGAATTCAGGGCTCGGGAAGATAGCACCGCCGTGGCCGGAAGAGGAGTTGCTCCCTGGGCTGCCACCACAACCTATGGCACCGCCCTGGTTAGAGGGAGAGCTACTTCCTGGGTTGCCTTCTGCGCCCCCATCTGGGGAGGGAGGAGGACGTTCCTTCCACCAGAGGGTATGGTTGCGGCTTCCCTTTGAGTGTTCCGGTCTCCATGCATTCCCGGTACAAGTAGGAGGCAGGGGAGGAGGAGGATATTATGAGCCCTTAGAAATTAAACAACTTAAAACTATCAAGGACGCAGTTTCAGCTTATGGGCCCAATGCGCCATTTACCATGGCGCTTTTAGAGGCATTGGCAGGTCTGCTTTTAACTCCTGGAGATTGGACCCAGCTGGCACGCGCCTGCCTCTCCCCCGGACAATATTTAGATTGGAAGTCCTGGAATGAGGAATTCTGTGTAGAGCAGGCGGCAGCCAACAGGGAAAATAACCAGAGAGAGTGGAACAGGGATATGCTATTAGGGCGAGGAGCCTTTGAGGAAGATCAAACTCAATACCCTCGCCAGGTTTATGAACAAATTAGCCGCTGTGGCCTCCAGGCCTGGAGACGGCTGGCTGGAAAGGGAGAACATACGGGTCACCTTACAAAAATTATACAAGGGCAGGGAGAGCCATTTTCAGACTTTGTGGCCCGCATGCTTGAGGCCGCTAACAGGATTTTTCCAGATGCTGAGGCGGCTCACCCTCTCATAAAACAATTGATTTTTGAACAGTGCACTAAGGAGTGCCGTGATGTCCTAAGAACTAACAAAAATAGGTCCTTAGAAGAGTGGACACGCCTGTGCCGTGAATTGGGTGGCCACGGCCTAACGCCCAAAGGAAGAATATCATTGGCACTCTTTACCATAAATTTTTTAAACCTTAATCATAATAATCATTCCCCTGCCATGGAGCACAATAACCCGTCCCCGGCCGACAAAGGGCTGGTGAGATGGAAAGATGTCCTTACAGGACAATGGATGGGCCCGGATCCAGTGATTAGCTGGACCCGAGGTGCGGTTTGTGTCTTCCCACAGGAACCAGGCTGCGAACCGCTGTGGGTCCCGGAAAGATTGACACGAGTAGTAAACTCCCCACCAGTTCCTGATAAAGCACAGGAGGATAAGCCCGCGGACACAAGTCAACTCGACCCTTCTGGGACCGACGCTCAGCGCCCGAGACCATCTACAAACTAAAATGTCTGGTTTGGAGCTTTTTCTATTCTGTGGGTTCCTATTAGCTTTTTCTATTCTGTGGGTTCCTATTAATCACCCCTGTGATATGCTCAGATTCCACAGAACCACCACAATATCTTTGGGGTCCTTGGCACCACCCGCCCACGTTGGCACCTTTTTCGGCGGCCTCGCCCGCCTCACCCAGGGTTTACACCATCAATCAAACAGTCCTTGATTATGCTAATTGCCATGGCTATCCTAGTAGGGCTTGTGGTTATTAAATGCTTGTTAGATCGCCTCATACAAACTCAGCAGCAGGTTAAGATCACGGCTATGACAGCGATGCAAATGGCAGCAGGTGGCCCATCAGGCCAGCAGGCCGCCGCATATCTCCTTCACATTGCAGAACATCAGTTATAAAAGCTGATTGGGCAAGCCAATGACGGGTAAGACGGGAAAAGCCCTCCCGGTCAACCTAAGACAGGCTCCACTCAGATATACATGGCCTATAAGGCCAGGGGTCCCTTCTGGAGTCAAATTATTGGCATTGAGATGCAAGACCAAGGGTACTGCAGTGCTATCCGCCTCAAAGGTTGGGGGGAAGGCAGGAATGAATGTCTATATGCATCCAGGTTCGGTTCACAAAAGCCTGGCCCTGCGAAAAAATGAACCACTCACCTTGAGCATGGTCCTGGCGCAAGGAGATGCACAAAACAGGGTGATGCACAGCAGGGTATAGACCTCTACATTCTCTCATGCCTCGGCCTACAAGGTAGGCCCACTCCTAGGTGTCTAACAGCAACAAGGTCATAGACACCTTGGAGGGACCCACAGACCATCCTATTTTAATAAATAAAAAAGGGGGAGATGTGGGAAGCCGCCTATGAATGGCGCCCATTTCCTGCTTCCGGGTTCTTCCTGGCCTGAACAAGCCCGCCAAATTGTCAGGTCTGCCCAGTTACCCGTGACGCTAGCCTATCAGCTTGTTAGGCGCGCTTCTCTGTGATTGGATACTGCTTCCCCTTATAAGAGGTTGTTCCTGCCCCCAACGGCGGAAGAGGAATCAACACCGAGGGTGGCGGACCTTGTCAGGTCCGGTTCGCTGTACGTAATAAAGTTTGAGAGCTGATCCTGCTCGAGTTTGGTCTCCTGTCTCCCGCGGCTCCGGTCAGGCACACATTCTTTCCATTTCCCTGGTCTGTAAGTTACTTTTATTTCCAAATCCAAGGATGATATGCCAGTGATCTAATTTGGACTTCCAGTTAACACTTGGAATTTCAACACACATGGCCATGTTTGTGAGACAATGTTTTTTCGTTTGCCTGGTCTTTTCCAGGGGATCCTTGAAAAAGAACCTACAACTTTTAATTATAGCACTGTCTGTATGGTACTGTGCATGGAAAGGATGCTCACCTGGGGAAGGATAATGGCACAGATTTGTCTATTTCTTTTTCTTCTGCTCTTCTCAGGTTCGCTCTTTTTAATAAGCAAGACATCACTTGCCTCTCCTTGGAAATATGTGCCTGCTGTCAAAAACCCTCCATCTGTTTACCTTTGAGCTTTTTAACTATTGATTTATGGGACATTCTGCAAATTAATTCCTAACCATTTTCACATACTGAAAATACCTTTCTGTGATTCCACTTTCATCTCTCCCAGCTTAATGACCACCGTATGCAGGGAAACTCAATTTGCTGCTTGTGTATGTCTGACCTGATTAGGTTACTCGATGCTTTTATTCACCTTGTCTGAATAAAGCATCCAGGTGCCATTTAAATTTAAAGTGACTTTGGGGAATCTTCTTATTGACATTTAGACATGGGTAGAGACAGCAGTTGGAGGAAGTGAGAGGAACTCCAGTCTGGGGCTTTCCAAAAAGAAACCTGTCTTAGCCATGTACGTAGTCCCACACTTTCAGTAGACATTTAAGGAGTAAAAAGAAAATTAATTTTAACAAATACTTTATTTAACTTCCTATATCTGCATATTATTTTAATACCTAATGGGTATAAAATACTAAATTTTTCAATGTCCCTCTTTATTCTAAACCTTTGAAGTCAGCCATGAACTTTTTGCTTATGTCACATTTCAACTACAACATGTCACATTTCAAGGGCTTGAGCACCACATCTGGTGAGTGGCAATCCTATCAGATGGGATCCATCCAGAAATCATTAGATTTCTGTAACATGGGCTTTCTCAAGCACCACACTATTGACATTTGGACTACACTAAGAATTCTTTGTTGAGTCTCTGCCCCATGAAGTATTGGAAGGATAGCAATGTCCCTGTCCTATCTACCTGATGCCCATTCATGATCCGACAAGCAAAAATATTTCCAGGTATCTCCAAGTGAAAGCAACCACTGCAAGAAATTGACACGAGCATTACAATAAATTACCTTTAGTTGAATTATCAAAAGTCATCCCTGACTCCTCCTAGAGTCCTGCAGATGGTTCCTGAAAGAGCAAAGCAGGTGAGTAGAGATGTTGTGATGGGTGTTTCTTTCCAAAGATTCTAGGTGTTTCTGTCTTCCAACTGAGCCATTTAATAGTGATGAATTAGTTGTTGACTGGAAGGCACTGTGGATTGTAGAACTCTTCTTGCCAGCTTCTTTCAAAGTGTCAGCTCATCATGCTGAAAGTTGAAGCAAACACTTCAGAGCATGTGCTCTTGCTGAATGTTATCATTGCCATGAGTACAGTGTTCAAGAACTTATTGGAATGCATTGGAAAAGTGGCTGCATTTTTTTAGTTAGACCATTGGTTCAATTTGGGTTAAAACATTTTTGATGAAATGCTTATTTTTTTTTATCAGTACCAGGGATCGAACTCATGACTGCCTGCTTGCAAGGCAGGTTCTTATGCTGCTCAGCTAAATCCCCAGCCCCTGAAATGCTTATTTTCAACAATGATGTTACATAGTCAAGTGTTTTGGTTCCTTATCTCATTACTGGGACAAAATACCCAACACCCAAAAGGAAGGAAGGAAAAGTTTATTCAGGTCACAGTTTGTGGAGGTTTCAGTCCATCATCAGTTGGTTCCAAGGGAAGGTGGCATGGCACAGGGACAATACTTCAAGACAGCGGTCAGAGCAAAAAGGGGGGAAAAAAACCTCTTTTCTTCTCTTATGTTGTACTTAGGTTCCCTCCAACCCCACTCAAGGGTGGGTGTAGCATTCATGCTACCTCTGTGCTCTCCACTTGCAAAAGCTGAGGATATTTACAAAGTTAGGATCCTGGTTCCCTGCTCAGTCTCTTGTTAAACTTCTCAACTTCTCAAGTTGACACAATATATGAATCATAACGAACAGTATGTTTAATGTAGTCCTGGAGATGGTTATTTTCCATGAGAAGCTCCTATTTCTGCAAGACACCATTAAATACAAATGTACATTGTGTTTATATTGTCATTCTGTCATTGGTTTGCTAGAAGCAATTCATTTATTGAAGGATGAGCATTCAATCACTGTGAAATGTTTTTGTTCTAGAGATTTGATTAAAGATGAGTTTCAGAAGGAAGTCTACTGTCCGGAATAAAAACTGAGAGTTCAAACATGGAGTAGAAGAAGAATATTCTTTAAATATTAGAATATATAGGTTCCATCCTGACCTACAAAAGGCTCAGAGTATGACTTCTGGTATATATTTTAGTTTTGTAAAGATGTTTCTTTTCTTATACTATGAAAATTCCAGAGGACACCAGATTACCCCGAATCAAGGGATGGTTCATTCTAAGCCAGTCCATGGGTTCCTTGAAACTGCATTTTTCTATAAGTAGAGCCTAAAATTATTTTTATTTCTTTAAAAACCTTTTTTATTTCTTAAATAAGATGAAGATAGGGAAAGAGGAGAGATCAATTGATAGGAACCATTTACATAGTATGGTCAGTATGAAGGCTACATAAAGGATAAGTTAATATATCTAAATTATTCACTCAACAGCATTAAATACTCAAGTGTTTGGTGTGCACAATGCAGTGGTCTAAAGACCATGGACACAAAGGTGAGGAAGCAGGACACTGTTTTTCCTCATAGGGTATCGAGAGTGATACAGACAGATAATTTGTAAATGCTCAGCAGATGCCATGGTGGTGGTGGGGGTGGAACAGGTTTCAGGAAGACATAAACAGAGCCTGAGGTTGGCAGCTCTCTAAGTTCTTGAGGTCTGGACATTGTGCCAGGGTATAATAGTTTGGGAGGACCAGCAGGAATGATGGTGACATGTGTGGCACAAAATGTAAGGAAAGTATGGGGAGATAATTCTGTATAGAGATATGGCTTGATTAAAACTCAGCAATATCCTGGGGAAAATAAATGTTTTATTTTGCAGTGCACAAGTAGGGGAAAAGTCTAGGAACCATTTTGTGTGTTGCTAGGATTTTATCAATTTGTTGTTTAACAGCTGATTTCTCCTCCTTTGACTTTTCTTGGGGAACATATTGACCCTTGCTATTGTTGTTCCGCTTGGTTATGTGACTTGCTTTAGCCAGTGGGCTGGTAGCAGAAATGACTGAGAGAAACTTGAAAGAAGGAGCTTAAGTTACATGATTCCCAGTCTTGTGAGCATGCTCATTTAGAATCAGCAGAGCCAACTATGAATCCTGACTTTCATTCTTCCATCTGCTCAGACTTGTGAACTAGGCAATGGTTGTTATTTATGCTGCTGAAGTTTTGTGGTTGTTTGTTACATGGCAGTAGCTGACTGCTATGCTGGAACATCAGACCACTGACCTGAAATTCAGCCAATCACTCAGTTATTTTTGTTTTCTATCCACAATCTCAATTCCATACTGCACAGATAACATGTTAAATGTCTTATATACATTGACCAAAGTTAATTGTATAAAGGCTAATATATTGACAAAAGGGAAACAGGAGCATGTTGATGCAAATGCAATAAGAGGGCTAATAATTTGATCAGCCACAAATAATCCTGTTAGCGTACAAAAAAAAAAGACATTTATTCATTTGGGAACTCATTTAGTGATGTTTAATGTTTAAAAAACAATATATCTCACACCAATATGAAGTAGGAAGGCAGCAGTAGGAGACATTATCCCATTATCTTAGATTCTATCAGTGAATCCAGAGGGTTGTGGTGAGGATTTTATAAAGATTAAAGGCAAATGCTCTATATTGGTTGGGGTTCTCTAACCAAGCAGAGAAACAAAGAGTCAATAAAATTATTCCAGGGAGTTTATTATATATTAGACTGACTGAGAGGATAAGAGGCTAAGTAGTTCACAGTGGCTTCTCAAAGAAGCTGAAAGCCTCACAACAGAGAGGGATCAAAGATGCAGTCCTGAAAGGATCATGGTAAAGCAGAGGACCGGGAAGCTCCCTGGAAAGCCTGTGGTTTGTGTTCCCACTGATGGGCTCCAGTGGCTGCAGTCTGATATCCACAGGTGGTGACAGCAGTAAGAGATGCACCCATTTAAGAGGAATGGAGTTTTTCCAAGGCAGAAAGACTTCCTTTCCCTTTTATCTCATCTGGGTTGCACATTTATTGGGTGGTACCACTGACAATCAGGGTGGGTCTTCCCTCTCAGTTTGCTGGCCTACCTGTCAATCATCCCTAGAACCACCCCCCCAGACACACCCAGAATTGTGTGCTGACATCGCTCCAATCTGACCTCTCTCCATCCAGTCAACTTGAGAATCAAGATTAAGCATCACATTTTCTAAACAAAACTCAAGCTTCTCTCCAGCCTTTTGCTCATTTTCTCTTAGTGACCCCACCTTGTGTTTTAGGTATTACCAAGTGTTGTTTACTTCCTCACAGGTTAAGCCTACATCAAGTATGAAGAGAGAGAATTGGGGTGATTGAATTGGATTTTCATGCTTGGACATATACTGAGATGCTAGAAGCAATTCCCCTCGGAAAACATGGAAATTTCTTTGGCAGAGATAATTGGGCAATGGAAATGGAAATAATCTTATGGGAAAAGAAATCCAGGCTTCATGGCCTCAGGGCTGGCAAACAAAACCAAGTGACTTCAGGGTTTTCTGATTCTCTGGTCCGTCTTTGCAAGATGACTATCTATGGGCAAGCAGTAGTTTGTTTTCCATTTTCACTTCAGCTGGCTCTAAATTTGAGTTGTTAATGCATTGTTTAGTGTGTACTCTG